CCGTCCAGCCTCGGACCTGAGGACTTTGGACGCACAGGGGCTGAGAGTATGGAAGGAGGCGGGAGTGGACCCCAGGCCCCGGCCCTCCAGGGCCCCACTGAGCAGGGGCTGCTCAGGTAAAGGTGGGGTCAGGAGGTGCCCCCAGTGGGGCCGATACCTTAGCAGGTGGAGGCTGGGAGGAAAAGATAGGACCCTTGGTGCCCCCTCCAGCCAGCCCACTCCCTGATGGGGGTACCGTGTACCCCACACTGGAATGACGTGTGGGAGCAGAGGGGTGGCCTGGAGCCATGCTAATGCGTCTCCCTCAGTGAAAGGGGTATGTCCAGACCCTCAGAGCCCGGGCTGGCGCCGGGGCACACAGGCATGCCCCCACCTTGGGCCTCCCTGTTCCAGGTGACCAGAAGTCATCTGCTTCTCAGAAGCCCCGAAGCCGGGGCATCTTCCACTCACTTTTCTGCTGCGTCTGCCGGGATGATGGAGAGGCCCTGCCCAGCCACAGTGGGGCACCCCTGCTTGTGGAGGAAAACGGAGCTGTTCCCAAGGTGCGTGGTGGCCAGGTGAGGGCTGCAGGGCACCTGGGCTCGCCCTAGATGGGGGTTTCGGGAAAGGGTTTTTCTTGACCAGCCTGCAGGCCCTGGAAGGTCTACCCAGCTTGTCACCTGACAGCTCCGAGAGCTCCTCCAAGAGAATTTAAATGCCCCCGTCGTAGGTGGACGCTGTTCTCTGCCTGGATTTCCCGGGTGGGGAAGTGAGGCCCAGAGAGCCAGGCGGCCTACGCTGGCTCCAGAGCTGGCAGGGGCAAATCTGGGAAGAGGGTGGCCTCTCCCCTGTCCCTGTGACTTGCCAGCCTGAGGGCTGCAGGCGGGAAGACTTGTATGAAGAAATGACGGGGGTGAGAGAGGTGCCCCCAGCCAGCCCCGCTCGTCCCCACAGCAGACCCCGGTCCAGTATCTGCTCCCCGAGGCCAAGGCCCAGGACTCAGACAAGATCTGCGTGGTCATCGACCTGGACGAGACCCTGGTGCACAGCTCCTTCAAGGTGGGCCTGCCCCGCGGCCCCCAGCCCTGGTTCGGAGGGGCCTGCCTGGCCTGGGAGGGTGGTCTGGGCAGGCCTGGCCGCAGCTCCAGCCGCTCTTTTCCCCCATAGCCAGTGAACAATGCTGACTTCATCATCCCCGTGGAGATCGACGGGGTTGTCCACCAGGTGAGGGGCCGGGTCCTGGGGGGAGGCGGTGGGCTTGGCTTTTCCCACCAATCCTGAGAGCTTCGTATAAGCCTTTGGGAGATGTGGAATGTCAGAGGCCCAGAGAGGGTGTGAGACTTATCCAGGGTCACACAGATCCTCAGAGACTTGACTGTAACGCCTGCGGGGAATGGGGTTCTTCTTGGCGCCCCCTTACCCCACCTTGCCCGGGACCCAGTTCAAGTAATTCAGGATAGGTTGTGTGCTGTCCAGCCTGTTCTCCATTACTTGGCTCGGGGGTCGGTGCCCTGCAGCCTGGGGGTGAGGGGGCTGCCCCAGGCCCCTCCATTTGGCTGAGGCCGTGGAGCGGGAAGGGCCTGGAATTAGTGATGCCCCTTGAGGCAGGGCCAGAAGCCTGGAACTCACAGGTTCATTTTGATCCCCTTCTGAGAGGGGGAGGTTTCCCTAGCAGCAGTTGGGGTGGCTGGTCAAGTGGGGCCCCCATAGGACCTGGGACCAGCCTGCCCCCTGTGCTTCCCTGCCTCCTTCCCTCCCAGCCCCCTGCCACCCCCCACTCCCAGCCTGAGGCCCAGCAGTCCCCTCACTGGCCCGCCCCCCAGGTTTACGTGCTGAAGCGGCCCTATGTGGACGAGTTCCTGCAGCGAATGGGCGAGCTCTTCGAGTGCGTGTTGTTCACTGCCAGTCTGGCCAAGGTGAGTGCAGGGCTCCTGGCACAACCCCCCCTCCTCACCAGCATGTGGCCTCTGGGCAGCGGCCCCTGGATCCCCCTTGGCCCCAGATGACTCAGCTCCCATCCACAGTATGCAGACCCAGTAGCTGACCTGCTGGACAAGTGGGGGGCCTTCCGAGCACGGCTGTTTCGTGAGTCGTGTGTCTTCCACCGGGGGAACTACGTCAAGGACCTGAGCAGGCTGGGCCGAGACTTGCGGCGGGTGCTTATCTTGGACAACTCGCCTGCCTCCTACGTCTTCCATCCGGACAATGCCGTGAGTGCCATGCAGGACCTGGATAGGGGGCTGGGGCCCAAGAAAAGGGTCCGTCCATCTGGGCTTCTCCCCACCTCTGCTCCCAAGCTGGGTGGTTTCCCAGGCCTGGTGCCTTCCCATTCCTCCCTCTCATAGACCTGTGCCCATTCGCCCCGTACTTTATGGATCGTTCAGATCATTCTGCTTGCTGGGCGTTGGAGCAGGTGCAATTTTTTAAGTGGCCAGTTGTGACCAGTTAGTGGGTCACAAAAATAATTTAACGGTTCCTAGTTGGAGTTTTGAAAAAATGAAATAAAGTAGGAAATATCAGAGTGCTTTGCACACAGTTAGATTAAGTTTCATTTCATAAAATTGTTGCTTTGTTATGTATGTAAATGTGATTTACTGGGTGCTGCTGTCAAAATATTTGAACACTGTGGGTAAGGGGCTTCAAGGAGATAGCCCACCCAGCCATGGGCGCTCAGGGGTGGCCTGCATATTCTGCGTCCAGGGTGGTGACCCTACACCCATCTGCCCAGGTACCGGTGGCCTCGTGGTTTGACAACATGAGTGACACAGAGCTCCATGACCTTCTGCCCTTCTTCGAGCAGCTCAGCCGAGTGGATGACGTGTACTCAGTGCTCAGGCAGCCACGGCCTGGCAGCTAGTGAGGCGCCCTGGGGCCAGGACCTGCCCCTGACCACACCTACACCTTTCACACACGGACTCTTCCTTCGGAAAGCCCAGCAGCCCGGGCCACCTCAGTGCCATGGGGAAGTGGGCGTCTCCCCCACCAGCCTGGCCAGGCTGCGAAGGGGGGCAGCAGGCTGCACAGAGGGCAGTGAGACCCTGGGTCCCTGTGTCAGTGCCTTAGAACCTCCTCGCTCTTCTTGGGGGACCTACGGGGCCCTGCATGCTGCTCCCCCTTTCTCTTTCTATGCTGCCATGTTTCTCTGCTGCCAAGTTGGGCCTCTCGGCCCTTTCGGTTCTGCTTGGGGGAGGGGCAGAGTTCCTGCTGCCCCCTGCCTTGGGCCCCACCTGGGAACGTGGACACCAAGTGCCTTGCATAGAGCCCTCTTCCCCGCCTGGCTTTCCCAGGGCCAGGGCGGGTCAGCTCTTGCCTGGAACAGTCTCCAGACTGTCCGTCGAAGAGAAGCTAGTCCTCACGCCTCCTCCGTGGGGGCTGCTGCAGACCCCGCCACCTTTGTCTCGGGGGGCACAGGAGGGGAGAAGATCCGTTGGCCACTTGTGAGAGCAGCAGGGGTTTGTCCTTCAGGACCCAGTCCTGCTTCTCTGTACTCCTCACTGAGGGCTGCTCCCCATTCCACCCAGGGCTCCGCAGCTCAGCTCCCCCAGCTCCAAGTGTGGGGGCACAGGCAGGACCCCTTTATGGTGCCATATAAATATGTATATGTGTATATAGATTTTTAGGGGAAGGAGAGGGGGAAGGGTTGGAGTAGAGACAGCCCTTCCTCACCCCTTTCCCGGGCCCATAAATTGGGGGGAGGGAGGAAAAGGATTTTTACATTTTTAAACTGCTATTTTCTGAGCGAAACAAGCTGGGCCAAGAGGCCCCAGGCCCTGTCCTGTCACCCACACCCTCTTTGCTTCATTTAAAACATTTATTGAGCACCTTCTCTGGGCCCAGCCTGTGCTAGGCCAACCAGCTGAGTGTGTGTGTGAGGGGAGGGGGATCTCTCTCCACCCACCCCATACTTCACCCGTGCCTTTAGGGGATCTGTAGGAGGTGGGACACTTGTGGGGTTTGGGGGGTACTCCTGCCAAGCTACACCCCTCCATGCCAGCCCACTCTGCAGCCCCCTGCCTCATCCCCAGCTGGCTGAGGGCTGCTCCCCGACATCTGCCTTCCAGCTCTGCCTCCTCTACCTGGAATCCCTCCCCCCCAAATGCTGAGTCTGGAGGTCAAGGCCTTGGGCTCTTCCCAGGGCCTAACAGTTACGGGGACCCGCATACCAGTGCCAAGGGGGATGTCAAATGGAGATGTCCTTGTTTCCCACCTACCCCCAGCTGGGGGCGGGCGGGCGGGAGGGCATGGCTGGTCCGAATCTGATGACCCTCCCATTTAAGTGCCTTCTCTGTGATAGCCCCTCAGTGTGACGCGAACTAAAGAGAAAGCCAGACCCCCAACCTGCCTCTGTGGTTATTGGGCGCGGTGAGTGGGGGGCGTGACTGTCCCAGGAAGCCTCTTCCGCTTCAGCTGACCCTGTGGAGGGAGGAGGGCGGTCCTGGAGGCTGCCCTACCCTCCCGGGCTCCGAGTGCGGACGTGCAGGAATGGCCCGGGTACTGTCTGATTTCCCTGCTTCGCTCAGCCTCAGTTATCTGGTCTGCAAAATGGAGATCGGCTCCCAGCAGAGCTGCTTCAATGCTGCCCCTGGAGAACTCCGTAAGATTAGCTCAGAGGCTACGCAGAAATGCGTCCCTAGGCGAGGCCCCTGGAAGGTATTTGGAGGCGGAAGGGGTGGGGTCTCTGCCCGGAGCGAAGGGGAGGAGTTCGTGAGGCCCCAGTGGGGGTAGGTGGGGAGCGGGGCGGGGTAATGGGAGCCAAGTTCAACTCCAAACCGAAGACCTTTGAGCGAGGCTGCCGTGGGCCTCCCGCTGGCCGCACCCTTGCACGAGCCTCCGGCCCACTTCCTGCCCCCGCCCCTCCAGCCCTGGCAGCACTTCCTTTGCAAAACTGGGCAGCCCCAGGCCCTGGCAGGAAGTGCCCTCCCGCCCCGCCCTCTCCTGCTTCCCACGGTGGCCACTAGAGGCCTCTCCGGCCTCGCAGGGCTCCGCTGCGCCGGGCCGTGGGCGATATGCCCCCGCCCCAACCCTGGGGGGCTGGGAAGATAAACGTTTCTACTTCACCCCTCTCCCGGGGGGCGCCCGCCTCCCCCTTCTCCCCCCCCCACAAACACAGGGGAGAAGGGAGATCTGCCCCTTCCAAAGGTTGGGCCCTGCCCCCCACCCCCAACCTCTCATCCCCTTGTGAGTCCAGCCTCAAGCCTCCCTCCTGGTGTCCCAGATGCGGATCTGCCCCCCAGGTCTCTGAGGGTGACCTGCCACGTGTATGATGCTGCCCCTTTTCCTTCCTTCGCCCCCCTCCCCTGCTCCTGGTAGAGAAGTGCTGGGAAGCATCGACCTGGGAAGAGCACCTGCAGTTCCCTCAGTGCCATGAGCTCCCGTGTGAGCTGGAGCCTCTGAGCCCTTGGCCCAGTGAAGGCCCAGGTGGCCTGCTTCTGCCCTTGTCCTCCTTGGGGTGCCACTGGGTTTCCTGCTCTCCATGCAAACACTAGTCCCCCAGATTTGCATCCCACAGGCCCACAGAGGCCAGGGAGTCACCAGGGCTCCCAACTTTGCGACCGCAGTCAGCCTTTACCACCCACCCTGCACCCACAAAGTTCAAGGTAACCACATATGCCTGCACTTCCTGTGTGCCAGGCACGGTGCCAGGACTGGGGACACACCACGACTAGGGCCTGCCTCTGCTCTCAAGGAACCCACACTCTAGTGTGGAGAAGGACGCCTGAACAGATGATCTAAGACCTTCCATGCTGTAGATGTAGTTCGAGGAGGAACATGGAAGGCCGGATGGGAGCACAGGGGACACCTCACCGGCCTGGGCGGCGATGCAGGGTTTGGAAAATGCATCCTGAGGACGTGAGGCTAAGAGGAGTTTGGAAAGGAGGCGTGAGTCAGGTGATGGTGGCCTCAGCAAGGAGAAGCCCCAGAAAGGAAGCCCAAGAGCCAGGAGCCCGCCCCAGCAGGGAGTGAGAAAGGACAATTTTGGAATTGTACACAGCCAGGGGAGATGGGAAATGACGCTGCAGAAGGCAGGAGGGGCCCGATAATGCAGATCTATAGGCCCGCCAAGGCAGTGGCCTTCTCTCTTGCAGGCGGTGGGTGTCTTTGAGGGACACGGGGACACTAACCAGGAAAGAGGTGTGCTCCATCCTGGCAGCTTCACGTTGGAAGATAAGTCAGGGGTATGGGACGGAAGACCTTCCTGGGAGGCCACAGCCGTGGAGGGTGGAGAATGGAGAATGAAGACGAATGGGGGCACAGAGGCAGAGTGAAAAGGAGGAGGAAGGATGGATGTGAGCTAGGAGATAACTTGACAGGAAGCTGTGGCTGGTTGGCCCTAGGGACTGGGGTAGAGGTTTTGGAGATGTCAGCTGCAGTGAAAATGACAGCCCGGTATGGAACAGACATTCACTATTTGCCTGTCACACACACACATACACACACATACATAACATGCAGAGGAAACAGGCACCTGATACACTCCTGTTGGCAGGAGTGTAAACTGGTACAACCTCTTTGGAGAGTGATTTGACAATACTATTTTTCAAAAGTAATTTTTAGCCCTGGCTGGGTAGCTCAGGTAGTTAGAGCATTGTCCAGATACACCACGGTTGTAGGTTTGATCCCCAGTGAGAGCACATACAAGAATCAACCAATGAATGCATAAATAACTGGAACAACAAATTGATGCTTCTTCCTCTTTCTCTCTAAAATCAATTAAAAAAGAAAATCTATCCATATTTTATTTTTATTTTTTTAGCAGACATCCTTTGATCCAGCAATTCCACTGTTAGGAATTTATGCTGTAGAAAGAATGCATATACACATAACTTTGTACGTATCCAGCATTAATTGCATCCTTGTTTGTAATAGCAAAACACTTGAAATAACCTAAGTGTCCACCAGTGAGGGACTGTAAGTAAATCTTGCTCTATCTATACCAGAGAATACCATGCATGGGGTAAACAGTGAGGTGGGACTATCCAAGCAGATATAGAATGACCTCCAAGATAGACCAGTAAATGAAACAAAGATTTGTAACAATAGTGATGGTGTATTCCCACTAAAAAGCAATATAAAGGTAGACAAATATACATATATATTTTTGTTTACTCCAGTAGGGTAACAAGAAGTGGGAATTGTGGCTAATCCTGGGAAGTAGTGCTGGAGGACTGGGTGGGACTCATCTAAGATGGGAGGGACACATTTTTACGAACACCTGTTTGTGTTTAGTAAATGTACCAGGTACATTTTTTAAAGGTAAAAATTAGTTTAAAACAAAAACGACAGTCAATCTTCTAAACATAACATCAAAACAGAACTCAAATTCCATGTCTTTCCTTCAAATAGTCATTGCATGCCTGTACCAGACACTAGGGTACAGCAGCGAGCTAAACAGATACTGTGGGGAAAACAGGGTTAAAAAGTAATTACAAAACAAGAAGAATAAGGTGGTAAATAAAGAATTTTAAACTTCCGTACTGCTCTGGCCAGCGTGGCTAAGTTGGTTGGAACGTTGTCAAGAGGCATTGGGTTTGATCCCAGGTCAAGGTGCATGCAGAAGGCAATCGACCCATGTTTCACTTTCACATCAATGTTTCTCTCTTCTCTTTCCTCCTCCCTCTCCCCCTCCCTCTCCCTCTCCTCCCTCTCCCTCTTCCTTCCTCTCTAAAATCAATAAAAACATGTCCTCAGATGAGGATTAAAATAACTTTTGTACTGTCAGTGCCAAATTATCACCCCAAGATGACTTATGATTGTAAATGGGGGAAAGTGCCTTTACAGTGGAATGCTGGCAGAAAGCAAGGGAGCAAACTTCGCATTACTCATGCTGCGTCAACTTGACTTCGTATATCGCCGAGTCAATGCAATGTGAGGTACACAGCATCACCTTTGCCCGTGCTACTCAATGTGCGGTTCAAGAACCAGCAGGCACATCAGCTTCGCCCGGGAGCGTGTTAGACAAGCAGGATCTCGGGCCCCACCCCAGACCTACTGAATCAGATTCTGCATTTTAAAAAGGTTCCCAGGTGATTCTGTGATACTACAGTTTGAGAAGCTGGCCTTCTTCAAGTATTCTTGAAAAAACCTGTTTAACCAGGACAAACCTTTAGCGGTACTTTCAGTTTGTGGGGAAAATAGGAGGAAGAGGAATGAATTAAATAAGACACAAAGATTTAGACAAGTCCACAGTGTGAACATTCTACAAGACAACTGTCCTTGACTCAGGTAAGTCAATGTCATAGAAAAAAGGGCTGGGAGACTGTTCTAGATTTAAAATCTCTGAAGAGCCCTGGCCGGTTTGGCTCAAAGTTTAGAGCAGTAGTTCTCAACCTTGGCTGCACATTAGAATCACCTGGGAATCTTTTTAAAATCCTGATTTCTGGACCTCATCCTCTGGAAATTCTGTTTCTTTGTTACTAATGTTGTGGCCTCACCCCATAACAAAGAAACAGAATTTCCGGAGGATGAGGCCCAGAAATCAGGATTTTAAACAGAGTCCCAGGTGATTCTAATGTGCAGCCAAGGTTGAGAACCACACTAGAGCATGGGCTGAGGACCTTCTCGGTTTCAGGTTCGTCCTGGCCCCTGTGGGGCACCTGTGGGAGGTAACCATCAATGTATCTCACATCTCAATGTTTCTCTTTCTCTCTCTCCTCCTCTCTCTAAAAAAATCAATGAAAAAAAAATCCTGCCCTAACCAGTTTGGCTCATTGGATAGAGCGTCCACCTGTGGACTCAAGGGTTCCAGGTTCGATTTCCGCCAAGGACAGTACCTTGGTTGCAGGCACATCCCCGGACCAGGCTCTGGTGGGGCCTGGTGGGGGCACAGGCAACCAATCGATGTGATAAATAAATATATAATATATTTTAAAAAAAATCCTTGGGTGAGGATTAAAAATAATGCTGAAGATAAAGGATTAAAAAAAGAATACTGAAGATACATAACAATGAAAGGACATGCAGGATCTTAATTTGATCATGAACCAATAAAAACAGCTGTTAAAGTCCTTGTGAGGACAATTGGAGAAATTTGACCATGAACTGGATAGAAGATGATATTATAAATAATTTGTGATACCATTCTCATGTGAAAATTGTATTCCAGTTATTTTATTTTCCTTCCAGCCACAAAGCTGACCTAGCTGTTTTGCAGTAACGAGAGACTGCTGTTCAAAACACTTCCGGTGACATTATTTTAAATATACTTTTATTGATTTCAGAAAGGAAGGGAGAGGGAGAGAGAGCTAGAAACATCAATGATGAGAGAGAATCATTGATCAGCTGCCGCCTGCACACCCCCCACTGGGAATTGAGCTCACAATCTGGGCATATGCCCTTT